GGGCCGGGCCGGGCCGCTGGGAGTCGGGGCGAGCTCCGCGCCCGGACGCGGCGAGGCGGGGTCTGATGGGCATGGCAGGCGTTCGCTCGCTCCCTCGTTCGCTCCCTCACACACGCGGAGGGAGGCGAAGCCCGCAGCAGCCACTTCCCAACTTTCCAAACTTCCCAGCGCAACTTTTTCCTCTCCTCCCCTACCCGCGCCTCCTCCTCCCTCCTCCCTCCCGCTTCCCCTGGCCAGCTCCCCGCCGGGCCAGAGCTTCCGCGCGCCGCCGCCAGAGGGTGCCCTGGCCGAGGACCAGCTCGGGGACCCTCGCTGGCTCAGCGGTGAATGCGGGCTGGGCGAGCAGCAACAAATTCGGCGATATGGACCAGCTTCGCTCATCCTCGGGTCTTGGCTGGAGTGAACAACCAGAAGGGTAGGAGTTGAACAGGCGCTGCTGGATAATCTGGGAATGCAGCAATCACACGGAATCCAGAGAAGCTGGTATTTACAACTTTGTGTCAGGCGCCTGTGCCTAATACTGGCATGAGCATCCATCGTAGGTGTTCTGCAAACACTAGCTGAGTCAAAAATAAAACTTTAAAGAGAACAGAAAATAATCATCCTCAGAAGTCCTTGGAAACTTCCACTGAGGCAGTTCTCTCCCGTCTGTTTTCTGGAGTCCACACAGGATCCCAGTGCGAGGCTCTGGAACGGCGAGAATTCATACGTTGGTTTCTTAGACCATAGGAATTGGAGATCCCTTAAAAACCACTCCTTTCTGTCCCAAGGAACAAATGTGGCTTAGAGAAGACCAAGGAATAAGACCTAAGCTTCTAGATTTTTTTCCCAGCAAATAGGGAAACTGAGTCACAGTACCACTGCTCAGGTCTATTAGATAAGAGTTTGTTGATTCTTCTACTCTGGTATTTGAGGTTAAAGGACGAGTCAGATGATAATGTTAGGAGCCTGCAGTTGTGGAAAGGAAGACAGGCACAGATATGCAAAGAGCTGACTAAAATACTCTAGTGCCAGAAATACAGAAGCACAAGGGGAGGGGTGCAGACAGGAAGGATTCCTAGCACAGCCTGGAGACCTAAGGATGATTCCTGGGAGACAGTCTTGAGAGATCAGTCAGAGGTGGCCGAGAGGGCTGTGCTGGAGGTCTTCCAGGTGGAGGACGAGCAGTACGAAAGCATAGAGATGTGAGCATAGGCACCTGTGAGCAGGGACTGCAAGCAGTTAGGCACCCCTGCAGCAGAAAACAAGTGGCAGGAGCGGGAGCTGTGTCTTCTGACCCAGTCAAGGGATTCAACCTTTTTATGTGCAGGGCAATGGGAATCCACTGCAAGACTTGAAGTCAAGGGTGGCAGGGGCACAGCTGTACTTGCATAGGGTATGGATTGGAGGGGCTGAGTTGTAGACTCAAAGGCCAGTGGAGAGAGAGCTCAGTGCTCTCCCAGTCTCTCTCACACATGCCTCCTGTCACCAGGCTGAGCAGCTGGAGACCAGCTAGCCTGGAAGGGCAGACGAGCCTCCCAGAGCACAGAATCTGTACTAAGTAGGCGAGAGGGGCAAAAAAGTCCTGCAGAGCAAAGGATACGGACCATGGAGAGGACCGCCAGAAGGAAAGGAAGGGGCCATCAGAGACTGGCAGGGTGAATCACATGAGCCCCATGAAATTGCCACTTTTGTAGGTCAGAAATGAATGATTGTTGGCAATTTCATATGGTTCGCTTTACTAGTGTCCACAGCAACCTCTGCCTGGCAGTCTTAGCCACACACATATGGTGACAGACGCTGAGCAGACCAGAATGCCCAGACAGTAGGGTACCAGAGTGCAGGGTAGCTCTGCATGTCCCCCACACAGAGCGCTGAGAGCCGCAGCTGTGACAAAAGAGAAGTCTCTGAAAATGTCACCCAGCCCCCCTCCTGAGGCTCCAAAGCGAAGCCACAAGTCCCCTCGGTGAGGAGGAGAAATAGTTGGGAAGTGAGAACTTAATTCCGCTTGGTGGGGGGACATGGTCTTTGCTGGGGACTTAGATGACACAAGGCAGGGTCATGAATTGGCTCATGTTAAAAATGATGGTATATGTGAATAGGTATTGGAGATTTAAAAATCTCTCTCTCCTGAATTTCAAACAAAAATGCCCTAGTGCTTTTTTCCCCCTAAACTTACAAAGATTTTGGCAGCTAATTTTCATGAGTGCTAGCTGCCGCTTTTCCCTTCCTGGCCTTGCACAACGCTGTGACCAGGGGCAGAATGATTAGCTCCTCTGAGTTTTTCTCCAGCAGCTTCCTCCCTATTTTTTAACCAGTCAGTGGGTGCAATAAGGTTTTAGGCTGTCCATCAGTATTGGAACTGATATTGTTAATAAGATGCAAGAACAAATACATTTTTCCATCCAAGAGAATTGAAAACATACATCCATGCAGACACATGCATATAAATGTTTATAGCAGCATTATTCACAATAGTCAAAATGTAGGAACAGCCCAAATGTCCATCAGCTGATGAATGGATAAACCAAATGTGGTATGACAAGACATCACCCTAAATGGATGGGGTTTTTAAATGTAACATATTCATATGAAGTAATATTATTTGGCTATAAAGAGGAATGAAGTATTGACACATGCTTTGATATTATAATATAATTGATACACACAATTCTGAGACTAATAAGCTAAATAAAAGAAGCCAGTCACAAGAGGGTATATGTCATATGAGTCCATTCATTTTAAATTTCCAGAATAAGCAAATAGAGACAAAAAGTGAACTCGTGGTTGCTTACTGCTAGGAGGAACGGCAACACTGGGGACCATAGCTAAAAAACACGGGGTTTCTTTTTGGAGTAAAGTATTCAGAAATGGTGATGAGTATACAGCTCTGTGAATAAACTAAAAATACTTTAAATAGGTGAGTTTATATGTTATATAAATGAAATTTCATAAACTGCCATTTATTTTAAAAAGAACCAACCAGTTTGGGGTCCTAAGAGAGTGCTTCCCAAGAACATGCGTCTCAGCGTTCCCAGTCTTCCGCCTGCCTGGTGTTGTAAGTCAGGCCCTGGCTGAAGCTAAGTCCTAGAGACTGGATGGCTTAAACAGTTCACCCATCCATCCTCTTGCGACCTGAGTGTGAACCGTCCTGAGTGGGACCAGTATGAAAAAGCTCGTGAGATGGATAACTTCTAAGGGCCTCTGAGCACAGCTCCCGAGCTCTGAGTTCTGTGGCCACAGCCTGCCCAGGGCCTTTAGGTAGGACAGGGAAAGGTTCGGGATTAAGAGGGAACACTGGACTCCAACTCTGGCCTCCTTTCCCACGAGGCACACTCAGCTCACTTTCCTTTTATTGCAATTTAATGAAGTTGTTTTATCAGATTGGTACCAGGAATCTGTAGGCTATAACAACAGGAGCGGGAACCTTGTAGCGTAACTAAACCAACAAAGTGCTACCTGAGCAGAACCTAAAACCCGGCTGCCGCTGAAAGGTATCGCTGGCAGGAAGGGAGGTGAAGGACTCCCGTGCTCACTACAGCCCAAAGGAGGACCTTTTCTCTTGGCCTTAGCTGGCCATCGCAGGGACCACTGGCCACACTGGCATTTTCAGTTGGTCTAACTTCTAGCTGTGCCACTTACCCCAAGGATGCTTCCTCCCACCCACCCCCGGGCTCTGTTTTCTGTACCCTAACCTTGGTTGGAAATTAATCCTTGATGACTGAGGGACATGATTGCAGTAGGGGTGGGGGAGAAGGGAAGCTGACACCAGGACCAGGCAGAGGTCAGCATAAGACTGTCTCGAGTGAGGGACAGCACCAGTTAAAAAAAAAAAATAGAGATCCTGAAATGATTTAGAAACAGGTACTTCTTCACAAGAGTGGAGAAATGGGCACATGATCAAGGAAGTGCACTAAGGGATTAGACGTGCCATATAAAATGACATTCATTGAAAACAAAAATCCATACTGTGGCCCAGCCAAGTGGGGAAGTGGAAGAGACAGAGGAATCAGCCCAGGATTTTGTCCCCAGAGAGCTTGAAATCCAGTGGTGAGGACAAATATGCAAGCAAACACAAGGTTTCAGGAAACCAGGGGGCGGTGAGAGCTAAATCAGGCTTAGGAAAGAAGAGATCAACAAAGGTCTTTTCCAAGAAGGGGATGTTGGAGTTAACCTTTAAGGATGAGCAGGATTTGCACAGGAAGGATGAGGAAAAGAAGGTTATTGGGAGCAATGAGAACAGTATGTATATAGTTAGGAAAGTGCAAATAATTAGCATATTTAGGGAACAGTAAACATGGTGGGGAGTACCTAGACTGTGGAGAACCTTTGGAAATGGTCAGAAATCAGACTGCACCAGGAAGGGCTGTGCATGATCTTGGAAGGCTCTTCATTTAACTGTTCAGAGGAGATAATCTTAGCTTGGTCTGCTTGAGGGTGGCTAGCATGTCGGATATCAGATAGGATATGTGCACAGCCAGATGGGTGCAGCCCTCAGACATGTAACAGCAGTGGTATATACTGACTCTACTACCTCACAAGTATTTATGGGGTCCCCATATGTAATGTAATATGTTAGGTATGAAGGAATAGTAGATTTGCCATCTGGCTATTTGCAACTTTTGAACAAGAAAAAAAAAACTATATGTAGATGGTAAATTTAAGTGCATGTAAGTGAATATTACTGCAATGAACATGAGGGTGCAGGTATTTATTTGAGGTACTGATTTCATTTTCTTTGTCTATATAAGGGTGATAGAAAAATATGATGAATGTTTAAATATTTATGTATTATGGTAAAAGAAATATTGCCAAGAACTATGGAATAAATGTGTTTGAAGGGAGAGGGAATGTTTTGAGAAGGCAGATTAATGGCAATATGTCTTTTATTGTAATATATTTTTAATTTAAACCTTCACTGTATTTTTGATTACCTCTTATATACTCAAAAGTAAGATTTTGGGACTGTCTTTTTAAAGAACCTCCATATTGTTTTCCATAATGGTTATACTAATTTACATTCTCACCAAGCATGCAGAAGTTGGTCAAAACAAAGTTTCAGTTATAAGACGAGCAAGTTCTAAGGATTTAATGCATGTGTTAATTACTTTGACTATAATAATCATTACAGTGTATAGACATATTGCTAAATCATGATGTTGTGTCTCTTAAGCACATCAATATTTATTTGTCAATTGATTATTTTAAAATAAAGAAGCTGGTGATATAGCTCAGCTGCACAGCACCTTCCTGGCAAGGGCAAGGTCCTGAGTTTGATTCCCAGTACAAAAAAAAAAAAAAAAAAAAAAAAAAAAAAAAGAAGTAAAATATTGAAAAAATATAAGAATAGCAAAAAGAAAAATGCATGTAATGATCAGGTGAGTGCTGTGATATCATAAGAATCCAGGCATAGTCAATGAAAGCCAAGGAGTTGGGCATTTTCCTGGAAAAGCAGGATTCGAATTAATCAGTGGAGGAAAAGAAGATTTAAATGGATGGAAAGAGAGCTGTGTGCATCTCAGGAAAGGGGAGCAGTGAAGGCAGGGGCTGAGCGGGGCAGAGCGGCAGTGTTCTGGGTGGTATTGAGAGAGTGAACTGGAGAGAGGGGCTAGGCTGGGGTGGTATGGAGTCATTTACCGAATGAAAGAGGAAAAGATCTCAGGGTCACTGGTGGTCACTTCTGAGGCAGACTCTTTAGCTAAAGGATCCCAGCCACACTGTGAGACACATATTTTTACCTTTATTTTAAAGATGAAGAAAGCGAGTCTTGGGGGGACACATGACATGATCAAGTCATAGTTGATAGAAAGCTTGACTGTCTGTCTAGATCTTTTCAATAAAGCACTTGTTTCCTTCAAGACATGGATGGGAAT